CTATTAAGACACCCGTGACTTATGAAGCAGGCGTAACTATGCAGGTACCTGATCTGACGGTTCGGAAAAGCTATTTATGACATTGTAATACTGTTTCCATGTACACACATTGTATAAAATCAGTGCTTGACCTGTACCTCTAATGTGGCTGCTAGCGACCTGAGTGTAATTAAGTTCAGTTCAGTGACGTCACAAGTACGTTGAGCCTCTCTACTAGGGTTGCGACGGGTACTCGAGTACCCGATAACGGGTCGGGTAGCCTAGGACTCGAGTCCAATTTTCAGGACTCGAATACCCGTTCAGGGGAGATAACTCTAATCGCCTTTCGTAACTCGTAAGTCACTTCAAAATGGACGACAAAGCGGACAAACGTTCAAATGTGTGGGCGTATTTTGACCTTGATGACACAAAGAAAAAGACCAAATGCCATCTCTGTGGCATATGTATCAGCTACGCAGGTAGTTCGACGAGTTCCATGAAAAAGCATCTAAGTTTTAAACACAAGAGCATTTACTTTGATATTCTGCGTCACTTGTGGTTTTAGGTAAGCCATGCAGGCATTTAAAAAAACCCATATACCTTAGAATAGATCAATAGATGTTTGATGACCTTTTATTCGCAAAAGCATTACAAACAAGAGGGACAACATTGAACTACGGGTACTCGAGTCCGGTTCGGGTATTGTCTGCCGGGTACTCGAGTTCAATTTTCGTACCCGGTCGCAACCCTACTCTCTACCTTGAACCTGATTGTCGCGGTGTGAGTTGGGTTTAACGCCACTTTGAACACTGTTCCATTTATATCCCGGCGTGTCAGCTTAATGTGGAAGGAAAGCCCGAAGTGATGCAGGTCTCAGACGGTTACCACTTTAGCGAAACCGACGAACAAGGGTATGGAGCTGACAAACTTAGAAACACAGTGGGAGCAAGCCGGATTCCACACACGCCCTTAGGTTTCTGGCGTGCCCATGCACAGGGACATCTAGTAATATAGAGTCTTGAGGGGATACTAGCTGAAGCTTACCGAGTCGCCCGCGAGCACAAGTATGGTGTCGTCAAACCTACAAACATAATCGGGGCGAACCGGCATTCGAACCCGTGATCACAGACCTCTGGCGTGTTCAAGGGACGCAACTCTGCATTGCTAATTGCGCCGCCTCAAACGACTGGGTCCCCCTACTCCCAGGTTCATGGTTCAAGGATGAACGGTTCAGGAATTTGGGGGTAACGTATTATCAAGAGGGACTATCGCGGGTTCGCTATTGATGAGATGCAAAGTATTCACAGCTTTACATTTAAGAAGTTATTGATTTGATATTCATAATATATTTACAACGGTTTACAAATCAGTAAATTCGCATGTTTAATTATCTATATTTGCTATTTATTTGTTCTGTTACGCACGAGGGGCAATTCAAGCACTGTGGGACTTCATGAAGCGGCTTTGAGAAGAAAATGTATTCAATGTTAGTGCTTCAGAATAAAAGGAATAATGGAAGAGTATAACGATTTATTGGGATCTACGTTTGAATAAACATACACTATTTATGCGTTCTGACATAAGGAACTTTTTTGCATATCCTTGCTTCTATCTTCAACATAAAAAACCAATTGGTTTGGTTTCCTAACATGGAAAACAGCGTCGTTCGATAATTAAACAAACAGTTCAGAAGGTTATTGCGTCTGAGCTCAAACAATTCATCATTCGAGACAATAGCTAGGTTTACATCATTAACTTGAAAAAAAGACCCAACCAAAAATACAATCGATAATCCTGGATGTCGAATGAAACATTTCGTTGATAAGTACAATGCATAAAGTCCATTCTTGGTGCAATCTCATTAAAATCAGACCTAAGTTCTCGCTAGCGCTAAACAAAGATCTGAGGGCATCCCATTTCGGGTCATGTCAGAACGACCTTTCATCCGACCAATCAAAGCGTTGATAGGTGTCCCTATCCCTGATAAAGCTGGACTATTGCTGCAAGGGGCGTAAAACACACAATTTACTCACAAAGAACAACCCTTTAACTGTGATGTAACATTACGAAAATGCATGACATTTGTAAGTACTTTAAAAAAAGAAATTACTTTACATGTAAGCGGGGTACATTGAAAATAGTAGAATGGGTTTCAAGCCAGTAAGAATCCGACATTCACGTGTAAGGTAAGATACATGTTTGTGATCTATACCGAAACGTCGCCTTAAGGTAAACAAAGAAGTTTTTATCCATAAATTGCGTCTACTTTCTCATCCGTAAACTTCTAAGTAATGCCTGTCAACAAATTCAGTTATTTGATTAGCGCAATGATATCATGGACCCCTTTTTCCGTATCCTTCTTCAACTTAGTGCTCACTTCAGGTGATGTACCAGATTTGTGGTTAATGGCTACTATACGCCCCATGTATAAGAAACAGATTAATCTCTTGTATGTACTCAGTTGCTTCAGTAAATGTTTCATTGGTATTCTCGGTCGAGTAACTGAGTGAGTTAATAAATAGAATGTACCGACACATCGGCAATATTTCAGTCATATCGTGACGAGAACTGAGACAATAAATAGAATGTACCGTCACATCGGCAATATTTCAGCAATATCGTGACGAGAACTGAGACATAATAAATAGAATGTACCGTCACATCGGCAATATTTCAGTCATATCGTGACGAGAACTGAGACATAACAAATAGAATGTACCGTCACATCGGCAATATTTCAGTCATATCGTGACGAGAACTGAGACAATAAATAGAATTTACCGTCACATCGGCAATATTTCAGTCATATCGTGACGAGAACTGAGACAATAAATAGAATTTACCGTCACATCGGCAATATTTCAGTGATATCGTGACGAGAACTGAGACAATAAATAGAATGTACCGTCACATCGGCAATATTTCAGTCATATCGTGACGAGAACTGAGACAATAAATAGAATTTACCGTCACATCGGCAATATTTCAGTGATATCGTGACGAGAACTGAGACAATAAATAGAATGTACCGACACATCGGCAATATTTCAGTCATATCGTGACGAGAACTGAGACATAATAAATATTTGTCTCAGTTCTTGTCACGACATGGCTGAAATATTTCCGATGTTACCGTAAATTCTAACTCACTCACTCACTCGACCGAGAATATCAATGAAAGTACATATAAGAGATTAATCTTTTTCTTATGCATGGGGCGTATAGCCTAGTATAGTAGCTATTAACCTGTCAGCGAAGGACAGTATAAGAACTAGAGTATCAGTTTCAATTTTAAAACTAGTTGAGAACATTCAAGAGAATAATTTTTCATTCAACATTACGGTATGAAAATGGGCTAGAGATCACCAGCAACCAAAGTTAGGCCACCTTACGCGGGACCGTGGGGACTTACAATACTTCTGCTACCTGCATGGCTCCCCATCAGGATTTACACCATCTCTTCAGCTGCTGGTGATAGTACGCAATTAAGCCAACAGTTAAAATAAACAAATATACTACGTTTAAAAATGAGGTATGAATAAATGTACTTTGAATGTCGTGGTCTTACATAGCCTCTCAGGGGGACAATAATTTGACGTTACTTAAACCCCCTTTGAGGGTACAGCCACTAAAATCTAAGTAACAAATCATACATTACCAATATAAAATATAGCTTTATGCACGGTCGAAAACTTGACACTTTCCTTAAAGACCAGTAATATATAAAAACCAACATAAGCTGGGTTTAGAGCAACTACTTACCAAATATTTATACCGAATATGATGTTACAGATTCTTAAACCGCGAAATGGAGGGATTTCTGCGCATTTATAGATTTTATAAGCTTTTGACAATGTATGGAGAATAGGTTCTTGTCATACGTTAGCGATGTACAATATAGACGGTAACGTCTTGAGGTTAATGAACAATATATATAATAATATAAAGTTATCTGTTATCCAACTTTTGCATATGATATTCCGGAGTACAAGGAAAAAAGATTCTCCTCTTTTTCTCTCTATCTAAACTACTTAGAAAAGTTTCTTTTTGACAAGGCTGTGTGGGTGTTAATTTGAACCATGGACATGATGTATATATGAAGCTTCATTAAAAATTTCTAATTGTATTTTATACACTTCGCAAAACTGCCATTCAGTCAGACGGTCAAGAAAACCTACAACTCTTAAAAATCCTTCCATGGAAACTTAAAGGTCATATTAAAAATTTCCCAGAGGATATTATTTTGGGGTGAGGCGAAAGCGAAAAAAGGTTCTTGTTGTATAATGGTAAAGAAACCGAAGACTTGTTACTTCAAAAAAGACTCTAACAAATAGTTCAACAAAAGCTATGCATGTTCCTCTTTAAAGATCACGTAATATCAATATGGCGTTAGATTCATTATTCAAAACATTGTATGTGATGTCATTGCCTATTCTATAAAAAGGTTGTGAAGTCTGGGGATGTGAGAAATTGATTTAATAGGAAAAAAATCCGTTAAAATTCAAAAGGTTTGCTTTCGGCCTCAGGGTGTCAGCACCACAATACATGACATATACTTAGAAGTGATAGATTGATGTGTGTGTAACTGCTCGTGCTTGTCCATTCTGTTTTATAGTGCTATCCCATTGAGATACCATGGTGTAATACATCATGGATGTCCCTCTCAGACACAGTATAATGACTCTGATTCGGCCAGGCCTTGTTTTATCCCCTTGATACCAAGCGCCAGGCAGAGTAACAAGTATCGTCTTTTGGTATGACGCTATGCGGGATCGAAGTACCGACCTTTCGCTCTTCGTGCAGGCGCTCTATCAACTAGGCCACGGAGGCAGGTCTGGTGAAATTGGAAAATACCCTCTCAGCATAACAATAATGAGAAAATGATAACTTACTGGTACAAGTAAGGATTGACCGTGTATTTGTTTCGGTTCAGAGAGGTTTGAATCGAAAAACCGATGTGAAAACTGTCTGAAACCGCGTAGCGGCCAATCCTTATAATTAAACTCGACAACAAAACCATGTGTTATCTACAACAGTTTACTCAAATACAATTATAAAGATCAAAGCAGGCAGATATAACGAGATTGATAAACGTTACACGCGTAGGAATACTTACTGTGGCGTGGCAAATATCAGGCGATTGTTTAAGTTAGGTACATAGCCTGACACGCCCACGAAGTCAGAAGCCAATCAACGGAGAGTACATCAAACCAAGTTAATAGGACCTGCCAATCAAAGTAAGAGACGCGAAGAAGAACTGTTTGATATGAATCAGAAAAAATAGGTCAGGAGGATTGCAGCTGTTTCAAAGGACATGGTTATTAACCGACAGAATCAATTAGTTTCATAGTAACTGGAAGACAAATTTGGAAAAGACCGAGTTAGAAATGAAAATAAAGCGATAAAAGTTACCCTTTCCATATCCAATACAAATTTCGGTATAAAGCAGAATCGACTGTACGACTCCGAACATATCATGAACATGTGTCTGTGAATCACTACGAATCAAATAGTTATGATAGCAGTTGTTCGCGAAAATGTGAGCGTATCCTGCTCCACCGGTGGCATCCGTCACAAACACACGCAAAGGCAAGTCAATTATTCACCTGAAAAAAAGTCATGACATTTACGGAACTGAGATTGTACGATGCTGGTGTTTGTGCAGTGAGTGTGGAAGACAGCGATATCATTTCGTTGATGGTAGGTTTGATACCGAAAACTAGCGCTAAAATTTTAGAAGGCCAGATAAATTCATGATGATATGGATGAGCAGAGAGAGAATTTCCTTCACTGTAATTGGGATTCTTCGACATGACGTTGTGATGAAAGTAGTCCGCTTCGGTGGGCGTGGCTTAATTCTTTACATTCATTGGGAAATGAACGCAATAACGAGTGACCAATGCAGGAATTACAATGACACAACGAAAATATAATTAGGTTAGAATGTAGTGATTATCCGATTAAGTAGGCGCCAGGATCCGCTGCTTGCGGATGAATTATCACGCGCCCGGAATACGATCGTTGGTTTGTCATCACCTGTCACGTGCTATATGTTTCACAAAAGGGGTTGAAGTACGTATACCAACTGCTTAACTTTGAGCTGTGCAGGATGCGACTATATTTCTCCGATCAACACGTTTTTCATTGTTTGTTTTTAACACATCATCAAAACATGATCTATTCAAGATCAAAAGATAATCAATTCCTGTCTCAGTTGGACATGGTCACTGAAGACGTGAACCGGATACCGTTTGTTGATATGTTGTCGAAACACACATGTTCGCCTTCAGTTGGTACCTAAACATTTGAACGTAAAAACATGTACTGCTTTCTTTGGGGTTGCCAACAGCTACCCCCTTTCAGTCGAGATTCCCCTGATTCGGCCGGCACAGGCCCTCATACTGACTCAACAGATCTAGATGCATCGTGTCTTTCGGTATCCTTCAGCATTACTGGCCTTCATAGAACAAAACTAATGTTCAAAGCATTAATCTCTTATTCAATCGATTTCTTATGGCAATGATCGTTCAGGGAAGCAACCCTAGGCCCTGATCATGTCTTTTTAGGTATAGAAGCATCACAGTGAGTCTTAACGCCGCTTCGAACAGTATTCCAGTTATATCACGGTGTGTCAGCTTAATATGGGAGGAAACCCGAAGTGATGCAGGTTTCAGACGTTTACAACTTTGGTGAAACCCATGGGCATGGTAATGGCGAATAGGGATTCGAACCCACGATCATATATTTCTTGCTTACCCAAAGGACGCAACTCTGCACCTTAGCGACCGGGCCAGAAGTACATTTATCATATCCGTGCTATTGGGCGACAAATTGGTTAACCTGATTCACTTCGGCCTTTCCTCCAACATCAAGCTGACGCCCCGTGAGCTTAATATACCCATTCACTCATTCATTCATTTTTCTTTGATAGCAAACAGGTATTGAGGGTAGGACTGCGTATCTCTGAACACCACATGCATGGTCGGCCTTTTGACGTTGTCAACTACAGAGTCGTAACGGATTGAACTGCCCTTTTCCAAAAAAGGTGCGTCCAACATCTTCACATCCCCTTTCGTGAAGATCCCCGTGATAACCTGGCATAGGTAGATATACTTGAAGCCCCGGTCATCTTTGGGAGACAGTTCCTTTTGAGCAGAGTAACTAGCTTCTGTAGCAAAATATACACCTTTCCCAAATTTCGTTCCTGTAATCAGACAGAATGATTTATTCAAAGTTATGAAAGAGTTAAAGAAATATTATGTGCAAAAGCAGGAGTGTTCAAATGATTGATTCAAAAACGCATTAGTAAGTTTTACACTATTCTTGTTGCGATTTTCATTTTGTGATTCAATATGTGTACCTGTACATTATAAGGCAAAATCAATTGTGGTATATTAATAAATGATACGAGCGTGTTTATGATGATATAGATCTTATGGCTTTAGAGACTTAACAACCATTGTCAGGACAGTACAAGGTAGCTTTATGCCGTTTGTATTTTACCGTTTTTGCCATTGAAGGATCGGTTGAAGCCATCTCTATTGATGCTTGTGAGGACATCACTTCTGGTGCCGTGCCAGAGTCGTCTTTCAATGATTGTGTTCGCGTTGCGGGACTGCACCGACTGCCTCTGTATCTGGTACTGCTGGTACGTCAATATATTTTGTATGCGTCGGATCTGCAAGTACACGTTAGCTGATATGGTTGAGGGAATACATTTCAACTGCTCGTACATATTATACACAGTTGCCTTGATGGTGGCTGGAGAGGAGGTGTATGTGTGCGCGTGCGCGTGTGTATGTGTGCGTGAGACGGAATATTATAGTATTTTAGTACTTCAGCTGCCTGGCGATTGTAGTATTCAGTAATGTACAGATAGAAAACTGACGTACCTCTACAATCTCGTACCCATTCCCCGCGCTGCTCGTAAATAGTTGTGTCAGTTCATCATTTTCAGGTCCAGATGTGACACATGGGGCTATCAAATCTTTGCCACACATGTCGTCCCAGGTCTGTGGTAAGGCCATCGCTGTGGGAGTAAGGATGTTTTTTTAGATAGGATAGACTGTGACGTGCATTCATACACTGTATGACTAGTGCGTGAATGAGTTCAGGTTTACGTCACTTTGAACCTGGAGTCAGTTTTCATGGCGTGTCAGGGTGCACGGATGGCCCAGTCGATGGCGTTGCGTCCATTGGTCGTGCCACAAACGTATGGTCGTGGGTTCGAATTCCAGATTCGCCTTGAATATCAACACAGCCTTTCAATAATCAAGCTTGGAAGAGGAAAACTAGTGATTGATAGCACAAGCAACAATACTCGTTGTCATCTTTTGACGACACAATTTCAGCATGATACTGGTAAGCGAGAAGATCTTCATGTGTTCTCGGCATGCAAATCAAGCATGGGGTTTTTGACACATGTTCTGAACCGGAATGACGGGGCGTCTCGACAATATAGACATAAAATTACAGTCACCAAAACTGTTAAATTGGAACACCATACCATTTAATGTATGTGGATGGAGAGTATTAGTTTGACCAGAATAAGTCAACTTGACAAGTATGTCTACCAGTCAACATCTCTAAAGGAAGAGAATATATGGATGTCAACTTCTGTATTATGAGGAACACGACATTTCCTCTTATGGGAACACTTTATGCTTACTCCTTCATCAGGTGAATGAGGACAACTCTAAAGATGTTATTATATAGCCTTACTGGCCTTACCACATCAGCAAGCATGTTATTTTGACCTCAAGACTTACCTGGTATTTGCTTCCGGGATAGCTTATGCTTATACTCGGGTCGATTCTGGGGTATTAATTCCATGGTTGAAAAGTCAATGTTGACCTTTCCAATGAGAGTCTCCACCACTGATGTGGGCTGGTGGAGTCTTCTGAAATAGGCTTCCTCGATCAACAGGTTGGTCACTGCAGAAACCTTCACTGCTCCCTGTGACGAGGCAGACCACCACTGCACGAACTGCCTGAGGAATTCCGCCCTCTCTTTATGTATTTGAAGAAATTCAATATCCTTTAACAGTTCTCCTGTTTTGGATTTTGCTTTTTCCACGTCAGTCTTCAGACCAGAATGACGAACGAGACGGTTTTCAATATCCACTTTCGCCTCCACATCCATGTCTGCACACGTCTGTTTTATGTCCTCTTCCTGGGGGCAACAAGTGATATCATTTCATAGGATTCAGAACAGAACCACGACTGTAATCTGTGTGAAATTAACATTACTTTCTATTATGGAAGACGTGGTAACCTTGTCGTTTAAGAATGTGCTGCTCATTCAGAGGACCCGGGTTCACAACGTTGTGACCTGCCTGGGATTATACTAATATCGGCGTAAAATATTGCTTTCTCACTCACTGTTAGTGAATTGACCTACTAGTATACGTGTTAGGGTGTTCACATATAGCCAGGATAGTGTTGAGCTAACACTATATGGACAATGCTTGGTAGGGGTTGATGTGTTCTCTTGCAATACAGACAATGTTTTTTGTTGTTGTTTAACGCCGCACTCAGCAATATTCCAGCTATATGGCGGCGGTCTGTAAATAATCGAGTCTGGAACAGACAATCCAGTGATTGACATCATCAGCATCTATCCACCCAATTGGGATACGATGATATGCATCAACCAAGTCAGCGAGCCTGACCATCCGATCCCGTTAGTCCCCTCTACGGCAAGCATGGGTTGCTGAAGACCTATTCTACCCCGGACCTTCACGAGTCTGCATGGTAAGCGTTGAGGTGTTCAACCAATAATAACGATGCTATGTTAGTGTTGAGATGTTCACACAATACAGACAATGCAACTTTCCACAGTTTCAGTATTCATAACACACTGGTCTCTGGCTGAACATATATATGTAAGATTTACTGCCCAATGAATGAACATGGATCTACATTTCATGGCATAATGCGGAAAACACAGATCTTACCGATCATACATCACTGTTCATTGACATTATTACAACCAGGAAACATTTCCATTTGAAAATATATATCCCAAACATCCTTGACCCCAAAAGGATATTAAATACGCGATCTATAAAAGTTTTTGTCTTCATCAATTCGTGGCTGTTGATGTACATCTATCACATGTGTGTAGACCTACTTGTTTGTCTGTGAGATCATAGATGACGTCACTGTGGAGGTCTTCAGCGCACAAATTCTCCCCGAGCTGCTGATCAAGGAACTGCCGACATTTATTTATGTTCTTCCTGTCACTTGACACTATTCTCAGGTGTAGTTCTTCATGTATTGTTCGGTCCCGCTCATTGTCTGGAAAACAAAATACCATACATGCCTCGTGTGATTTGATAGTGATTCATAAACACATACTCAGTCGGAATCGTACAATCGAATCTGGTATTAGAGAGATGCAGTATGTGTTAGCTCGAAAGTTGGATTTTAACACAGGATCAGTTATCAAAATAGGACAGGTTTTGTAATTTGTTGTTCCTCATAACGAAATGTTGCATGGAGATGCGTCCGATCAACAAAATGTCCTCCAACTTCGCTGAACAGGTTTTGATGTTATTAAATGAATCTTTGTTTTTGAAGTAGAAGTTGCCTTCGTGTTGGACATAGCAAGAGTTCATGATGTCCCGAAGGACCACGCGAGGACTTCAATCTTAACTATGTTGCAGCACCCCGTCAGTACTCAGGTGCAGTCGGGTAGCCTAGTGGTTAAAGCGTTCGCTCGTCACGCCGAAGGCCCGGGTTCGATTCCCGACATGCGTGAAGCCTATTTCTGGCGTCCCCCGCCGTGATATTGCTGGAATATTGATAAAGCGGCCACAAACCATACTCACTCACTCACTCCCCCGACAGTACTCGCTTGGCTAGGTATCCAAAACAAATGCACTCTGAAAATCTTGAATCCAGTATGGCCGCCACACAAGGTCACCAAAATTAAAGAATATAATTGTCGCTCATCCAAAGCTGCAGTAACATGTAACGTGTGATAATTATTTGACGGGTTTGACAGTTATCGGAAAACTCTTGAAGAGCCATGTTGCAAAGTATGTAGTCAAACATTATATAAAAATAAATAAATTAAATATGAAATAGTAAATCCTACGATCACGATAGGGATCTTAGCTATTTGGGCTTGAAGTCCTTACAACAACAATAATAATAATAATAATTCACCACCTGTTCACTCATTCACTTACACTCTCTTTCTATCACCAATCATATCCCTCTCTCAATCACTGATTGTGCCCATGAAGATCAGGGTTAGAATAGCTCTTCAGCAACCTATAAATGTCATCAGGTGGTCAGACTCGCTGACTTGGTTGATGCATGTCTTCATATTCCAATTGCGTAGACGGATGCCCATGATGTCAATCACTGGGTTGTCTGGTCCAGACCGCCGTCATACAGCTGGAATATTGCCGAGTGCGGCGTTAGACAACAAACAAACAAACTCACTGACGTATTGACAGAAGAAACTATTTATACCCAATGTGTGGCTGGGCTTTCTACACAGGCTTAATCTCTTCACGCACGATTTCCCGAAATAGTCCTGGAACATCCGGGTTGTTTCTTCCACAGCGACCGTGTCAGTGAGTACAAGTATCACGTGCCGGACATGTCCCAGTCTGTCGTTGCTGTTGACGATGTTTAGAATGCATCGGATGAACGCAAAGTTGAACAGGTCCTCTGGAGTGTTGTCTGAGAAAATAATCAAGAATGCCAACGTATTTACAAGAAGAATAACTCAAGTTGCATCTAGATTGGGTGTTATCGAAACTTGGCAAACTATATGCTATTCATGTAATTAATACGGACTAATTCAGCTAGTTGTTATGTACTATAAATCAATTCTTTATTTTAACTAGTAATCAAATAAAGTATGTAGTAAGTTGAGGAAGGAAACAGATATTGATTTTGATGACAGCCTATTTCTTTACACTGTTTCAATGTTTCATAGATACTAGCAATAAACAACGTATAACTTCTTTGAGTGGCATTTAGAAGTTGGAGTGATAAAGTAAGACGAGTTCTATGGATGAACAACTTCTTTATTACAATTGGTGCGACGTTTCGGTGTAGATCCTAACACCTTTATCAAGCAAGTGATGGATAGGGCTAAACAACATAGGTATATATACACTTATTGACATCTAAGTTGTTACAGTGACTAGTTGATGGGCACAGAGAGGTGATTAAGCTAATTGGAAGCCAGTGGATGACTGATGAACACAGAGTATACTAGCAGAGTAAACAAGCTAACTGATGGAGATGATGGAAGCCACTGTATTAATTGGATGGACAAAGGGATTGAGCCCAGTACCTAGCCCGCCTTCTTCTCCCCCTGGGGAAAACTGCTAAATCATTCATCACTGACTCCACAGAATTCTGCAGAAAGATAAGCACCATCACCGAGCCAGGCACACTCGTCAGCTATGATGTGGTAGATCTCTTCACAAATGTACCCAGAGACGAAGCCCTATCCATCCTCAGAAGAAGAATTGAAGCAGTATACCCGGACCTTGACACCCATCTATCCACAGACAGCATCATCAAACTTATAACCTCTTGCATTACCTCCACCTACTTCACCTGGCAAGACAAGATCTACCAACAGACACATGGACTTCCCATGGGATCCCCGCTGTCCCCTATCATCACAGAAATCTACATGACGGACCTAGAAGAAACAGCCCTCCATACATCACCTGTCACCCCCCTCTGCTGGTTTAGGAAAGTCGACGACACTTTTGTCATTCTCCAACCTGACCATGACCCCAAGACCCTCCTCAACCACCTGAATGCCCAACACCCCAGGATGCAGTTCACTATGGAAGAAGAAGCTGAGAGAGCTTAATCACCTCTCTGTGCCCATCAACTGGTCACTGTAACAACTTAGATGTCAATAAGTGTATATATACCTATGTTGTTTAGCCCTATCCATCACTTGCTTGATAAAGGTGTTAGGATCTACACCGAAACATCGCACCAATTGTAATAAAGAAGTTGTTCTCCATAGAACTCGTCTTACTTTAATAAACAACGTTATTAAAGACCTTGACATAATATTGATTTTAAAATAAGTATTGTTATTTATATCCTACAGTTGAAATCGAACGTTGTTTGATAAATCACCTGCTATATGGGGTATGGCCACAGACACGACTTTCTTTTTGTCAGCTTTACGTAGACATTTGGTAATAATCCGCTCCACGTCGTACCCAAAGAACTCTCTTGAGACAGCGATCATACTCGCCCTATCCTGTCTGCGTACAAACGCTGTTCCCGAACGTCTGATCTTTGGATCTGGAAAATCGAGGTCTAGTTCTACTCTGAAAGGTCTCCCAAGACCATGAAGTCAAAAACATAAAACAATTATCTCTTCGTTGAACTTTTAAGTACATGCAACACCATTTTTTCGAAATGACAAGCGAGTCATTGATAGGCATATTATTGTGCCCTTGGAAAGTATTATTGTGAACTTTTCGATCTAATTAAGTGGCTTTCTCAAAAATGAGTGACTCAAAAGTTGTTTGATCAGGAAGGTCCATCTTCCCGAGGCAAGGGAGTTGATTGACTAAAAATGTCCAGTTTCCACCCTTGCCGTACTAGGCTACAATTATGGAGTTACATTTTGGCTGGATTAACGAGTATGCATAGTCCACTCAAAATCACGTAACGAACAAGACATCCGGTTCATAAACAATGATTTCAACGTGCAGATTTCGGTCGACTGAAGGACTACAAAGCATGTGTACCGCCAACTGGGCGTCGACAGATATTTTACAAATTCCTTCAAGCTTTTAATCTAGGTGCTCACTTGATTTGATGAATTTTACAGGGTAAGACCCGTTTTATTACAATATAGATCTTAATTATCGAGCAAATCGTCTTGACTGGGCGCCGTCATTTGGTTTGAAGCAATTGCAAGTGATATGAGAGATGGAATCTGATTGGACAATAGGAGGAACATAGAAGGGACATAGCTCGTAACAGCCAATGGTGGCGCTACGATCGAGCCTGGAAATTCCAGCCTAGTTCGGCATTTGTGGAAACTGGACTTCTATAGACAGTTAACGCCTTTGTCTCGGAAAGTTGGGAAGGCAGACTCTTTGAATTGTTTGACTGCTTATCACTACTAGCTCGTCTGGCCATGTTTTGATTATTTACAACCGATATCATATAGATTGAATAATACTGCCTGTGGCGTAAACATACAAACCAACAAACCAACACTATAATCCAAATCATAGATTGTAATATTCCCGAAAAAACTATGAAATATGCTGAACAAAAGAGTTATGGACCATGAATATGTTTTGTCGTGAAGAGCACACGATTTCAGAAAAATATCACCAGAAATATTTTACGTTCCCTCACGGTTTTGTTCAGTATATGTGATGTTTTTGTCATTAACTCACTGTAGTAATATCACTCACTAGGTACGGCCATGTTGTCGGTCGGAAGTACCACAGCATCGACCTCTTCGTCCAGGACGTCCCCCGCCTTCACCCCCAACTGTAAATTGCCGAGGTGGAACTCTGAAACACATCGGAATAACAATTAATTATTGCAGTGTACAGTCGTGAGGCGAAGTGAAATGGGGGTTTAACGTCGCATTCAAGATTATTGCACATATATACTCTGCGAAAAAGGGAAACGCAAAAGTCGTAAACATCGCTGGCACCCATACACAATTAATACCAAATTTGAATTGGTCATCTGCAGGGGTTAGGCTTGATTTGTGTGACAAGGATTGAGGTACTGCAGAAATTTGGTGAAAAGATGGAAAAATCGAAAAAACACAACCACGTGAGAAACAGCGAAACACACCAACATCACGTTTTGGGCTTTAAAAACGTTAAGCTTTCATTACATGCCTTTACAATCTTACAGTAAGTGAACAGCGAAAACATGCCACGACTGACGGAGCCCCAACGTAACAACGCCATCGGCAGATTGCAAACAGGAGAACCATCTTCAGCTGTAGCCAGGTTTTCACGTAGCACCAAGCACCGTTACACAAGACTGGAACCGTTACCAGACACACGGGACAACAAGGTACCTTCCCAGATCCGGTCGACCACGTATCACCACTAGAGCACAGGACAGATTCATACGGCTGCGTCACTTACGTGAAAGAACCACCACGCCCACCTCTACAACTACGGCAATACCAGGATTGCAAAGGATATCAGCCCAGACAGCGAGGAACCGTTTGCGCGCTGGAGCTATTTGCCCTAAACGACCAGTTGGAGACGGACCTGCACCGTCGCCTGCGACGTCAATGATGTCAAGGTTACAGAGTATGGCCACAACTGCAATAGAGGCAAGTTTGGTTTTATGCTTCGCCGTGGGCATGGTAGACGTCCTGATTACAGGCGTCGCGTTATGCACGAAACTGCACATAAGAAGTGGACGGATTTGGTGGTGGTAGTGAGATGATGTGAGCAGCCATCTCCTACACTGGTAGGACAGACTTGGTGCAAGTTCTGGGGAATTTAACGGCACAGCGTCACACGGGTGAGATTCTTCGTCCTTTCCATTATGTAACAAGCCATCCTCATTTTCCAAAAAGACAACGTCCGACCTCCCACGGCAAGACTGACAAGTCTTTTTCAGGAATCACAACATCCATGTCCTGCCAGGGACCTCCAGGTTTCCAGCTTTAAACCCAATCAAACATTTATGAGATGCTCTGAATCAACGACTGGGAACACGTTAGCAACAGCCACAGAACCTCCGACAGATGGCAGAAGCACTGCAGGCAGATTGGGTGAACATTCCCCTGGCCACAATTCGGGATCAGATCGCTTGCATGGGACTACGATGCCAGTCAGTTTTGGACTCTAGTGGTGGCTAGACAAGATATTGAGAGCAGAACACGTTCACCTTGAAAATATACCGTTCCATGTGTGCCATATGGAACCTGGCTCATTGACAATGATGTGTGCCAAGTTTGAACAGTCAATTATCATCTGTTGATTATTTATAGATGTAAAATATACATCTGAACTTTCTTTTGCGTTTTTTCAGAATATATACATAAATACCACCTCAGACACAGTATACTGACTCTCAGCCGACCAAACCTTGTTTTATTCCCTTATTTTCGAGCGCTAGGCAGGGTAACAAGTAGGACCATCTTTTAACGTCTTTTGAATGACGCGGCCGGAGATCGAACCACCGTCGTCCCTTCCCGTGTACACGTTGTATCCACAAGACCGCCATCCAATGTGTAATCCACAATGCTAGTTAGTTTGTTGTTTTAAGCTGAAGTCAGCACTTTTCAAGGCAGCGTATAAATAAAAAAGCCTCGCCTGACAAACCAGGGGTTGACATTATCAGTAATGCCCAATGCCGTATTCGGTCACTTAAGACCACCCGAGCCAATATATTCGCCGCTAGCAAAAGAATGCGGCGGAGCTATTATAAGCCGAGTTCCCAAGGGTGCATTAACCATACAAATTTCGAGTTTGGTGTTGCCTTACCTCTCTGTTCCTCCATATCCGGGGGAAAGGTTTCACTCTCAGACTCAGTCTTCTTCCGGCATATGGCGTTGAATGCCTGTTTATAAATACAAATAATCATGTTGATTACACCACCTTCACAATTTCAGTAGTGAGAAAACCGCGAGGTTTGAAAAAAGAAACGGATAATTGTTTATTTAATTCTCCATTCAAGCTGTAATACTTTTTTATACGGTTTATTTCTATTATGGATGGGCACACCGTTCTGAGTATGTTCTTACCGCTTTCTTCATAAACCACTCTCAACTGCCTATCACAAAGTGATACTATTTATCCCACCTCCATGTCAGAATGAGATCTGATTGGTTCACGTGACCTTATCAAATACTCCATCATACCCCCATGTCAGAATGATGAGATTTGATTGGTCCACGTGATCTTTATCAAATATGTATCCCACCTTGGAGGGAAATAAATTTCTCAGCGAGAGAATAAATGCATAAAACCCCGCTATGAACAAGACAGGCTGCACGTGGATTTCTGAGGCACAATAATTCCCTTATACGCCGCTTTATCCGAGTCAATGAAAGGCACAAGTTAACATCGGCTCAATTGAACAGCTGTTTTCTATCAATATTTAATTTGTTTTAATTCATTCACAATGTCACATTAAAACATAGATTCGTTGCATCACTCGGCGTACATGTGGTTTTATGCGTCCCGCGATTTATACCATGAGCTGGAGACAGGGTGCATAAAACCACATGTACCCCGAGTGATACTGCTACAACTTACAATATACCTCTATTGTCTTTCTGTCTTTTTCAAACAAGACAACTCCAATATCCTTGAGAGAACTGTGTGGGTTGGATTTGTGATATTCCTTGACCACATCTCTGAAGACCGCCGCCACAACCTCCGCTGGGTATTTTCTCAGTCCTGTTCCAAGGGCGGGGAATGCTATGCTGCCATGGTTTCCTGCAGCTGCTTTATGTAGACACTGGTGTATCGTCAGCCGCAACAACTGTAAAGAGTGACCATTCTTAAAAAAGAAATTTCAAATAAAAGTTAGAACTGAAAGAAAGCTATCACCATGGACACAACTGTTCTACAGTGGGTGAGAGAGTGAGTATGGTTTTACGCCGCTTGTAGCATCATGTCAATTATATCACGAAATGTGACACCAGAAATGGCCTTCACACATCATACCCATGGGGGGAATCGAAACTGGGGATCAGGGTGACAAGCGAACGCTTTAACCACCAGACTACCCCAGAGCCCCTTCTACAGTGGGTGATTCAGGGAATAGGTGTAGAGTAATTGGCTACAAATTGCCTTTCTGTCCAAAAAAATAAAATAACATTTTTTCAGAAAAATTATAATACATTTGAATTAAAATATTAAAAACACTATTATTTTAGGAATGACGCGATAAATATGTATAGATATAACACCATATTGTGTTTTTAGTGATGACATACTGTATTTGTCTTTAAAAAACCCCTATAAAATTGATACCTCACTCAAGTTATTCACGCGTGTGAAATTACACTTGATACCGGAACTACTTTCAGTATGGCTCATTGATACAATGGAGTAAGATCATGTAAATCAGTGAGAAAGTACGTATTAAATTCATGTTCTTTTCTCGTGACCACAGCACCATTCGTGAAATTATCAACATTTTCGGACAACTCGATAGGATCAACATGTTATTTTACAAGCACATGCAAATATCCTCCTATTATGGTTGGTTTGATTAGTTTATCCTTTCCAAATTATTCTCCGATGAACTATAACGTATATCCTCACCTTGCCAGTATATTTATCTGATTTCCACTCTGGAAGACAGCAGTGATACAGCTCCGTGCAGCGCAGATTTCCAGGGCCTGTCTTCGCCACCTCACCTTCTTTAATGCCGTGTGGATAAAGCTTCTTACACTGTGTTTGTAGGATAGCGCCTCCTACACCGACTAAGGACTTGGTCAAGGGCCCAGCAGACAGATCGAGTTTCTCGTTGGTTGTGTTCACAATAACATCGGCCTGGAAAGAGATAATATATTCCAATATAATCTTATTCGTATATAGTAATAATAATTTCGGCCTTTTTTTTCATATACAAATTAACCCCTTGTGATTCCTCTTGTGTGTTGGAATCGGCGCCCATCAATCTTTGCTTGTAAGACCTCACGTAATGGGTAGGGTGATCACGCTCAATTGTTGCGTGTCATGATAGCCCAACTTAGTGGATTATTTCTCATAATATCAATCACTAGTTTGTCTTGTCCAGTTTCAACAACAAAGCTAAACCAAAACATACGTAAATGAATTATGTAAGTCAAATACCCTTTGATCCATAACGTCAATTACCCTATGATTCAATAGTGGAAACGGGTGTTCTCATCGTCCAAGGCGACGCAATTTGCTCTGCAGAGTTGCGTCCCGTAGGCGTGCCAGGAACATATGTTCGTTGGGTCTAGGTTTGTCAGTACATACCCGTGCTCGTGGGTTTCGCTAAACGCCAAAGATCTGCATCACTTCGAACTTTCCTCTCACATTAAGCTGACACGCCGTGATATAATTTCAATACATCTAAAAGCGGCGTTGAACCAAACTCAATAATACAAAATAATGACACAAACAGCCGAGGGATCACTGAGGTTTCTTGTTTGTTTGTTGATCAACGCCACACTCAGCACTATTAAGGCTATATGACGACCTGACGAGTCTGGACCTGACAATCCAGTGATTTACATCATGAGCATCTATCTACGCAGTTAAGATACGATGACATGCATTCACCAAGTCAGCGAGTCTGACCACCCGATAATGTGAGTCGCCTCTTACGACAAGCATAATCGCCTCTTACGACAAGCATAATCGCCTGTTACGGCAAGCATGGGTTGCTGAAGACCTATTCCTACCTGGATCTTGACGGGTCACGGAAGTTTCTCATGGAGTGTATTAAGTAAAGTGTGCATACCTCTGTTTTTGCCAGATCTCCTACTTTGAAGAAGACATCGCTTGCAGAAGGGAAGCTGGTTGTGTTGACTGATCCTACAATATATGTTCATAGATGTCAAATTCATAGGATGCTGTTTGGTCACCGATTAAATTAATTTTCCCGAATCAACGGTGATGATATGGTATAGGTATACACTTAACAAAGCACGATGTCGAAGTCAGGCTCGGTGAAAAAGAGGCCAACCGTAGTCAAGCTATCGTTGAAAGATTTAACCGGACATTAGCGGTAAGTATACCTATTACCTATACTACTGACTATGATACTGATGACTATCAATGATGGAGGTCAAACAACAGTATGCTTATGGCTACTGACACCATTCACCATGTGTTCCATTCATACTGTTGGTCATCACAACCTTTTTCCTTTACGCCATAAAGGGGCGGTCGGGTAGCCTAGTGGTTAAAGCGTTTGCTCGTCACGCCGAAGACCTGGGTTCGATTCCCGACATGGGTACAATGTGTGAAGCCCATTTCTGGTGTCCCCCGCCGTGATATTGCTGGAATATTGCTAAAAGCGGCGTAAAACCGTACTCACTCACTCACTTACGCCATAAGGACTCTGGTTCGGCAGATATTTGAAACGGATTATATTCTAGCGTTGACAGTTGAATTTGCTAGGGATTTCAGTTGTATGATTGGTAGTTTGCATTTGGGGAAATTTACAATTTAGTAACTCATTATAGACAGCATGTTATCTTACCATTTGGGGTGGTCGGGTAGCCTAGTTGAATTTGCTAGGGATTTCAGTTGTATGATTGGTAGTTTGCATTTGGAGAAATTTACAATTTAGTAACTCGTTATAGACAGCATGTTATCTTACCATTTGGGGTGGTCGGGTAGCCTAGTGGTTGAAGCGTTCTCTCGTCATGACGAAAACCCGGGTTCGAATCCCGACATGGGTATAATGTGTAAAGCCCATTTCTGGTGTTCCCTGTCGTGATATTGCTGGAATATTGCTAAAAGCGGCGTAAAACCAAACTCACTCACTCTTACCATTTTGTACTTCCGTGCCGGGAACGGGGTTAACCCTTTCCTGTAGTGTATGATCCCCGTATGTCTTCTTAAATACCTGTTTGAAAATGTATTCAGTATTATCATAGATATTTTATAAATGTATAAAGATTTGACTTATATGGTCCTGTTAGCTTTAACTGATCATGCCACATTCAATATATGTATGAAATTGCTTTTTAAGAATGTATTTGTCACTCTAAATGAAACGTCTCTATTCGCTTATCTTACCTCGAGTGTATTTTCGTCTTTGTGAAACAAGACAACGACAACTTCCTTCAGGGAACAGCACGGGTTGGATATCAAGTACTCTCTCACTTCATCTCTAAAGACTCGGGCCACGACCTCGGCCGGGTATCTGGCGTTGCCGGTGCCAAGGGCTGGGAATGCTATGCTGCTGTGTTCTGCTTCCGATGCTTTACGTAGACACTGGCGTATTGTCTGCCGCAATACCTGCATACAGGAACACACAACGCATCACCACGGGTGTAGACAACACAGTATGCAGGTATATGAATCACAGGTACACACAACACATCAACACGGGTGTACACAACACAGTATGCAGGTATATGAATCACAGGTACACACAACACATCAACACGGGTGTAGACAACACAGTATGCAGGTATATGAATCACAGGTACACACAACACATCAACACGGGTGTACACAACACAGTATGCAGGTATATGAATCACAGGTACACACAACACATCAACACGGGTGTAGACAACACAGTATGCAGGTATATGAATCACAGGTACACACAACACATCAACACGGGTGTACACAACACAGTATGCAGGTATATGAATCACAGGTACACACAACACATCAACACGGGTGTACACAACACAGTATGCAGGTATATGAATCACAGGTACACACAACACATCACCACGGGTGTACACAACACAGTATGCAGGTATATGAATCACAGGTACACACAACACATCAACACGGGTGTAGACAACACAGTATGCAGGTATATGAATCACAGGTACACACAACACATCAACACGGGTGTACACAACACAGTATGCAGGTATATGAATCACAGGTACACACAACACATCACCACGGGTGTACACAACACAGTATGCAGGTATATGAATCACAGGTACACACAACACATCACCACGGGTGTACACAACACAGTATGCAGGTATATGAATCACAGGAACACACAACGCATCACCACGGGTGTACACAACACAGTATGCAGGTATATGAATCACAGGGAGACACAACACATTATGCAGGTGCGCACAACATATTATGCAGGTATATGAATCACAGGTACACACACCACATCACCACATGTACACACAACACATTATGCAGGTATATGAATCACAGGTACACACATCACCGCAGGTGTACACAACACATGCTGCAGGTATATGAATCACAGGTACACACACCACATCGGCACAGGCGTACACAACACATTATGCAGGTATATGGATCACAGGGACACACACCACATCGGCACAGGCGTACACAACACATTATGCAGGTATATGGATCACAGGGACACACACCACATCGGCACAGGCGTACACAACACATGCTGCAGGTATATGAGTCACTGGCACACACAACATAGTACCACAGGCGTACACAACACATGACGCAGGTATATGAATCACAGGGACACACACCACATAACCACGGGCGTACACACAACACATTATGCAGGACAATGAATCACTGGCACACACAACACAGTACCACAGGCGTACACAACACATTATGCAGGTATATGAATCACAGGGACACACACCACATCACCACGGGTATACACAACACATTATGCAGGTATATGAATCACAGGTGCGCGTAAACCATCCTGCCAGGTGTGTCAACCACAGGGACACACAACCCATTATTACATGTGTGTTGGCAACAAGTTCACAGAACACATTACCACAAGTTTGTTGACAACAGGGGGCCACCTGCATCGCCTGGCATCGACAACAACACCAAGTAACACATAAAACCTCTGAGACCTAAATAGACGAAGGAATTAGCTTCACTAGCAAATAGCATCTAAAATCACACCAGCTGCAGATTTGTTCCTTCTGGTAACCCATGCTTGCCGTAAAAGGTGACTTTGCTTGTCGTAAAAAGGCGACTAACGGGATCGGGTGGTCAGGCTCGCTGACTTGGTTGCTGCATGTCATCGATCCTAATTGCTTGGATCAATGCTCATGAAATTAATCACTAGATTGTCTGGTCCAGACTCGATTATTTACAGATCGCCGTCATATAGCTGGAATATTGCTGAGTGCGGCGTTAAACAACCAACCAACCAACCAAACAACGTTCTGGTAACAGCCAATCCACATGCAACCCACAGTCAACAGTCACAAGTTGCAGCACCCCCGTCAGTACTCAGGGGCGGTCGGGTAGCCTAGAGGTTAAAGCGTTCGCTCGTCACGCCGAAGACCCGGGTTCGATTCCCGACATAGGAACACTGTGTGAAGCCCATTCCTGGTGTCCCCCGCTTAGATGTTGCTGGAATATTGCTAAAAGCGGCGTAAAACCATACTCACTCACTCCATCTGAATGACCGCATTAAAACATTTTACTATAAGCTTATTCCATCCCTGCTGATGTTATAAAGCTAACTAGAACTGTCAAATTCAATAGGCAACACTGGTATCTATAGCTTGATAGTCTTGTCGGAATTGACGTGATGGTGGAAATGATGAGAGTCCTGTCATGGGTTGAGCAGCTTCAGACAGTTGAAGGTTTCGTGATCAGTAAAGATCGGTTTTATTCCCCATATATGCTTGCTTATATATACCGAAATCTTTTACGATAGGGGGCACGGGTGGCCCAGTCGTCTAAGGCGCCGCGATTCGCTGTGCAGAGTTGCGTCCCCTGGGCACGCCGGAGACCTATGATTGTGGGTTCGAATCCCGGTTCGCCCCGATTATGTTTCTAGGTTTGTCAGCACCATACCCGTGCTCGTGGGCTTCACGTCTGTAAGTGGTAAACGTCTGAGGCCTGCATTACTTCGGGCTTTCCTCCCACATTAAGCTGACACGCCGTTATATAACTGGAATACTTTTAAAAGCGGCGTTAAGCCCAACTCACTCACTCACATTTACAATATTAATAATAATTAAAAACACTCAAACCACTCCAATAAGACACAATAGGATCTTATAACTCGGATCCATGTGATTATTATTCAAACTGTCACAAAGAATATGAAGCGACCCCTGCAGTGTTAAGTATACACCATTACTATGACGTCATAATGTTATACTAATAGAAACTTGGCAGGTTTGCGAAATATGTGCTTCAAAATAGTTCTTTTTTTCCGGGCGATACAGCCATCAGGAAAATTATGGTTTAATATACAATCCGTTTGGCTCCAAATGAGAACAATGAAAAGAGTCAGAGTGAAGAATGCTAAAACATCGTTACCTTGCCACTATCACGATCTGATTTCCACGCTGGGAGACAGCAGTGATACAGCTCCTTGCAGCGCAGATTGCCAGGGCCTGTATTTACAACATCACCTTCTTTGATACCGTGCGGATAAAGCTCCTGACACTGCGTTTGTATGATAGCGCCTCCTACACAGACTAAGGACATGGTCAAGGGTCCAGCAGTCATGTCCAGTTTCTCGTTTGTTGAGTTAACAATCACATCAGCCTGAACAAAACAAAAAAGAAGTAGGTGTTAATCATCAGTACGATTATATGTTTATTGAAGAAATCTGTTTCAAATACTTTATTGAAAAACAAATTTCAGAGAATATTGTCAGAAATAGTTTCTGTCCCGCTTTTCAATTGGATTCATATGAGAACCATGATCTAATGAGAGAATGAACATTGTAATTTCTTACGTATGTTTGCTGTTTAACGCCGCAATATTCCAGCTATATATAAGAATATATAATAATACATATAATATTGAGCCTGGACCAGACGATCCAGTGAATGGCGTCATGAGCATCGATCTACACAATTGGATTTGGTTTAGTTTGTTGTTTTACGCCGCACTCAGCAATATTCCAACTATATGACGGCGGTCTGTAAATAATCGGGTCTGGACCAGACAATCCTGTGATTTACATCATGAATATCGACCCACGCAAATTGGGATCGATGACATGCATCAACCAAGTCAGCGTACCTGACCACCCGATCCCGTTAGTCGCCTTTTTAGGACAAGCATAGTCGCCTTTTACGGCAAACATGGGTTGCTGAAGACTTATTCTACCCCGGATCTTCACGGGTCGACACAATTGGAACACGATGATATACACAATTGGAACACTGCATCAACCGAGCCTGACAACCCCATCGCCTCTCACGACAAGCATAGATTGCTGGGGACCTATATTCTTACTCAGTATGCTCCGGTGTTGTGTTCCATATGACACATACCTTTGTTGTATGGAGATCCCCGACTTTGAGGACTACTTGGGTCTCATCTGAAAAAAACGCATTTTAGTCTTAAATACATGCATCACCATTTGAGAACCAAGAAATAAATTGCATTTGTGGGACAGAACTTTTTATGGGAATCACGTTAGAATTACAAATGAAGCCAATTGTATCGATTTACCCCTATAAACCCTCTCATTGGTGGATGATGCAATACGTTTTTCAACTTACCATTTCGTTCCGGATAGTCTTCTATCATATCTACGACACACACATAGCTTTTCCCAGCCGATTCTATAGTTTGTTTGCTTGCTGGTGACCTGAAATATTTCTTAGCTCCAGCCTTCCGCGACATGTACGAATAGACAACCACCTCGGAGATGAGAGATCCGATTTGTCCAACTGCTTCTTCCACATGCCCTTCTTGTCCGCGAATTATGACAGCGTTAGTGTCCAGATCAAAAGAAATACCAACTGGCAATTTATGGATCAAATCTATTTTTTGTGAACGATATGCCTGGAGAAACATTAATATGCTTCGTTCTACTGAGATGCGTCTTTCATTGGGTGTTCCACTTTGGGTGCATGGTGGAGCTGATCTTTGTTTAACCATCATCTGCGCCAGGTCAATGATGCACTTCTCCTCTGCTACTTTAGCTAGATGTTGCAATGCTGCAATAACTGAAGTAACTTCGCGGGAAGTTCCTGTAACAATGTAGCCAGACATATCCTCAGAGGGTATCACCAACACATCTTCGGACGTATGAGGAAGACAAGTTGATAAATTTCTCTTGTTTACCTCTTTCCGGATTTTAGGAGACATGGCCAGGTGCGTTACAGTGATCTCTCTGAAGACACGGGAAATGATCATATCCACGTCACACGTAAGTGCCTGAAGATCAGTACTCGATGTTACAGGTGTTGTTTCCAGGCCTAGTGCTACCGTTAGTGTATCTACAAGACTCTGATCCCAACACACCATAACAGATGGATACCTCTTCTGCAATGCGGTCGTTAGTGTTGTCCTGTGGAGATCAGATTGCTTGACAAATGCAACTTTATTTGCATCAAGGTTACGAACGGTGTGATGCGTAATATCTGTTTTTGTAGAAACAAATGATACTCATCAAAGAATGAAATGTCACAAAGATCACGAATAAAAATGGCATGAAAACTAATAACCATATAAAACAAGAGAGAAACAATATTTTTCAGACGATAAAATAATGTTGAGGAAAACCAGTTTGTTAAGTGTTGAAGGCGGAAAATAAAAAATAAAAACCACATCAATTTTCAAATAGTGTGGACGTACACAATCCATAAAAATTTATCATCCATACGGGTAGCTTGTTCCATTTCTTCTTGAATGCAAGCACTATTTGCTTGTGAGTGGCCTAATGTCTGACAATGAACTGGTAGAAGCTAGTGTGCCACATAAATCTGCCCCGGATCCGTTTGTTTTAGTTGTGTTTATTTAGAATACAGTTAATAAACTGAACTTATATGACAAGATTATATGTGATATCTTTGCTGATCTACGAGTACTATTAGAAACATAAAGAAGGTTTAATGGTTAGCAATTTAGAAAAAAATGACAAAACGTTCAATATAAAGAAACAGAAAAACAAAACAAATTCATTGGACTTGGTACTTACCAACTACACTGCTAGAATACAATGGCCCATCTATGGAGAGTATTGAACTAAGTTCTGACGAAATGAGCGTGACTGCTGCATCGGGGGTTTCCCCGGGCCTGCCTCCAAGGCGTTCTTGGCTTCTCGTGTTGCAATATGTCACCAAGTCACTCAACGTATTTCTTTCATTGGATTGATCCGTACTGGTCTTTTTTGTCGTTTGAGAAACACGTTCTTCCACTTGCACGTCACTAACTGCCAACAATCTGCGTGTGATCTCTTCATACACAAGAACATCATCATCATCACCATCATTGGCACTGATAAATCCACGGACTTGTCTTGGAAACAGAGCTGGTGTCAGTCCCAACTGTGTATCATTGAGCAGACGCCCTCTTATCGTCTCTCCGAGACGTCGGATACTATCCGCCATTGATACGAATTAGTTCGCGGCACCCAACTTATTCTGACTGAACAGTTCACGTACTAAACATCCACATGAAATATGAAGCACGATAGACAGGGACAGGTAGTCAGGTTGCTGATATCCCTACTCATCTAATGGAGACTCGCACTGATACATGTGTTACTTGCAAATACTAACTGATCTTGCGACGCAATAGCTTCTATACAAAGGGGCCCCACCAATGACTGCACAAGTGGGTAGACAAGGGGGTTTTACTTACCTTCCTGGTTCTAAAAATAACAATGAAAGAATCTTTCGGTTTCACGCACGACATATTCTAGACAGTTGCAAACCACCCTCCTTTCACTATTATGATCTTTCGCCAGTACATGTTGAGTCAAAGTATTTTAAGCTTTAACCTGCTTTCACCGAGTTTCTTTCATCAGCATTACTTAGGGTGTCTTTGTAAATAAAACCGCTTCAGTCACCGTGTACGCATGAGTAGTTTGTTGACAAAGTCCCTGAATGTTGTGTCATACAGTGTGGGGTCTTCCCCACGTGTGTTGTCACGGGTGCTCCTGTCACGTTTGGGGGCATGCGATCCGGGTCATCTACTATATTGTATGTCCCTCTGTATGGCCTCAATAACTTGACGCATACAACTCCCATAAGTAAGTGCATAAATATTTTTTCATCAATTTTCACATCAATTCACACAAATATTCAGAGCTTCTCCGCGACTGAGTGAGTGCCTGAATGCTGTGCCAGACTTTATTCAGTGCATATCACAGCGGAGTGGACATACCAGTCCCGAACAGGAAACCATTGGTTGATAGCAGGAGCAACGATCAACGCTTTGGGGTTAAAATGACACGAAATCAACTAACTCCTTTCATACAATGTATGAAGAGTGTGTGAGTACGTTTAGGGCTGTGTAAACCCATGCGGAAATCCTTTATCGAATCAAGGCACTTACAAAATAAATATATATTTTGTTCATTACCTCCAAATGAGAGTGAAAGTACCGGGTATGACATGATTCCAGCTATTCAGTTATGATGGCCCTAAGCTCCATTATTGTAGACGGCAAGCTTCTTGTTTCCCATTACGGACTAACCCTACAAATCAGTCAGACCCTGACATTGACAAAGTCAGCTAAATAAAAACTGGTTCATCTATGCTGTTCTGTGTACAATTGCTGGTTCATCTATGTTGTTATATGTACAATTGCTGTTTCATCAATGCTGTTCTGTGTACAATTGCTGTTTCATCAATGTTGATCTCTGTACAATTGCTGGTTCATCTATGTTGTTCTAAGTACAATTGCTGGTTCATCTATGTTGTTCTAAGTACAATTGCTGGTTCATCTATGTTGTTTTTTATACAATTGCTGGTTCATCTATGTTGTTCTGTGTACAATTGCTGGTTCATCTATGTTGTTATATGTACAATTGCTGGTTCATCTATGTTGTTCTGTGTACAATTGCTGGTTCATCTATGTTGTTCTTTGTACAATTGCTGGTTCATCTATGTTGTTCTAAGTACAATTGCTGGTTCATCTATGTTGTTCTAAGTACAAATGCTGGTTCATCATTGTGTGTCTGTGTACAATTGCTGGACAATCAATGTCTTCTGTGTACAATTGCTCGTTCATCAATGTTGTTCTGTATATAGTTGCTGGTTCATCAATGTCGTTCTGTATATAGTTGCTGGTTCATCAATGTTTTTCTAATTTCAATTGCTGGTTCATCTATGTTGTTCTTTGTACAATTGCTGATTCATCTATGTTGCTCTGTGTACAATTGCTGGTCCATCAATGTTGTTCTATGTACAATTGCTGGTTCATCTATGTTGTTCCGTGTGCAATTGCTGGTCCATCAATGTTGTTCCATGTACAATTGCTGGTTCATCTATGTTGTTCTGTGTAGAATTGCTGGTTCATCTATGTTGTTCCATCTACAATTGCTGGTTCATCTATGTTGTTTCGTGTACAATTGCTGGTTCATCTATGTTGTAATGTGTATAATGACTGGTTCATCAATGTTGTTCTGTGTACAATTGCTGGTTCAACTTTGTTGTTCCATGTACAATTGCTGGTTCATCTATGTTGTTCTAAGTACAATTGCTGGTTCATCTATGTTGTTCTGTGTACAATTGCTGGTCCATCAGTGTTGTTCTATGTACAATTGCTGGTTCTTCTATGTTGTTCCGTGTAGAATTGCTGGTTCATCATTGTTGTTCTGTGTACAATTGCTGGTTCATCTATGTTGTTCCATGTACAATTGCTGGTTCATCTATGTTGTTCTAAGTACAATTGCTGGTTCATCTATGTTGTTCCGTGTACAATTGCTGGTCCATCAGTGTTGTTCTATGTACAGTTACTGGTTCTTCTATGTTGTTCCGTGTACAATTGCTGGTTCATCTATGTTGTTCTGTGTACAATTGCTGGTTCATCTATGTTGTTCTATGTACAATTGCTGGTTCATCAATGTTGTTCCGTGTACAATTGCTGGTTCATCTATGTTGTTCCGTGTACAATTGCTGGTTCATCTATGTTGTTCCGTGTACAATTGCTGGTTCATCAATGTTGATCTGTATATATTGCTGGTTCATCCATGTTGTTCTATGTACAATTACTGGTTCATCTATGTTGTTCTTTGTACAATTGCTGGTTCATCTATGTTGTTCCGTGTACAATTGCTGGTTCATCTATGTTGTTCTGTGTACAATTGCTCGTTCATCAATGTTGTTCTGTATATAGTTGCTGGTTCATCCATGTTGTTCCATGTACAATTACTGGTTCATCTATGTTGTGATGTGTACAATTACTGGTTCATCTGGTTCATCCATGTTGTTCTTGTTACATCTGGTTGTTCATCTATGTTGATCTGTGACAGGGAGGGATTATTCTAACAACTACAGCGGATTGAATAACAAGAGTTACACGAGTTAGAAATGATAAGGAAATATCTTTAAAGTGTTTGTCTTATCCAGATACTCGTTATTCGCACTAGTTACCCGTCAGAGGGCATATATGTATAGTTCTGTGGACAATGATAATAAATAACCATTTTAGTCATATAAGACGGGAATATGCAGCCTCGATTATCCGACAAAACAGATTCCTTTGGGCATTATAGGCAAAATATCGGTGAAACTTTTATGAATAACTGAAAATCAGTGAGATCATTTATCATCACAATATTTTAATTTTTTGTAGACATTTACATGATTTACCGATGCAATGTTGATATTTTATTCGTGGAAGAGACTTCTTTCTTTTGCTGCTTCGGTAAGCAAGCATTAAAATGCAGAGATGTGGAGAAATGGTCAAGTGACCTACAGAATGACCGAGGACAACGTAACGGAAATATACTGAGGACACACTGGCTCTTCTAATGCGGTCTTAATGTCTAACCTTATGTTCACTCGACCTTAAAACAAAATCAGCTCAGAACGTTAACGTTAGCTAAGTTACGGTGTGGTACATTGCCATTTGAAATCGAACTCAAACGCCAACCAACACCTCTAGATTATTGGGCATTGTACTTATTGCAGCTATAACATAAAAGAGGAAATCATTTCCTCACAGAATGTCCACTGTACTCTGATGTAAGATATTACTTATAGAAGGAGTCTTCAATTCTGGATCCGCTTTCCAAGGTTCTCAAAATTCGACAAGTTGGTCTTTCTGATGCAGTGCAAACCTCTACCACTGCACTAACCTGGCCGCGACTGTGTTACCATGTTTCGACGCAGAAAGAACGCAACGCTTTCCCTCTTAAAATACCAACTATCTTCTGTATATTTTTATCAAGTAAATGACTATCTGGTAGCTTTGGTGCGTGTAGTGTACTATATTGTGTATAACGGGCTTTGTGCAATGTCCTAAACTGGGCGGCAAAAGAAAGTATAGGTCAAGTTCCATAATCGATAAAAAAATAACAAGAAGAGGTTTTGTTGTGAATTATAATATAATCTAGGGAGGGGTAACAAATGATTGATCAACCACAGTTTGAATGAAATTGTGTTATCACAAAAAAAATGTAAGCTCAAGGTAAATAATGATGGGGTAAGAAATTTCATTTTCAAAAGTTGTCTGAAATGTCACCAAAAAAATTGTCAGACACACTACAAATTCATTGTCGACACAGTTGCCTTCAATAGCGTGTATGACCTCCAGCTGCCTCAATGCATGCTGTGATACGCCGCTCATCGATGACGTCAGTCTTCTGATGACGTGGACTGGAATCCGTTGCAAATCGTCTCTCAGGGCCTGCTGCAATTCTTGTCTGTTGACGGGAGGCTGATGGCGTGCTCTAATCTGTCTGTCAAGATGGTCCCACAGATGTTCAATAGGATTCATATCGGGTGAGTGGGCAGGGCAGGGCAAAACGTCAACGTTCTGTTGGTTAAGAAAGTTCCGAGTCAGTCTTGCAGTATGGGGCCTGGCACTGTCGTGTTGAAACAATGTCCCCTGCTGTTGGTTTTGTAGGAACGGAAGCACAACTGGCTGCAACACTTGGTCTCTGTAGTGCACAGCGTTCCGGTTTCCCTGTAAGATCACCAAATCAGTCTTCTGATCTCCACAAATACCGCACCAAACCATGACACCTCCCCCGCCGAATGGATGGACCTCTCGAATACACGCCGGAGCCAAACGTTCCCCTCTGCGTCGATAAACTCGTTCTCTGTCGTCATTTCGAAACAAGTTCAACCGACTTTCATCAGTAAACAGCACTCGACGCCAATTTTTCACTTGCCAGCGTCGAACCTGCCTCGCCCATCGCAGTCTCAGGCGTCGATGTTGAGCAGTCAGTACCATTCCCCGGAAAGGACGATACGCTCGGATTCCAGCAGCACGAAGTGGTCGTAATACTGTACGTTGGCTAATGGGATGTCCCAACGCTGTTGCTGTCGTCGCGGTCGCCGTTACGAATCTGTTTCGCAGGTGAATGAGCCGTATCTGACCGTCTTCCAGTGATGTTGTCATTCGGGGTCGTCCGGTTCAAGGCCTGTCCTGTGTCCTCCCTGCCTGCCTGTACCGTTGAATCAGCCTGGCTACTGTCAATGGTGTACAACCAAACCTTCTGGCAATTTGGACCTATGTTGCTCCCATTTCGGCCATACCGATGGCTCTCTCTCTCTGTTCCTGTGACAGTCGTGTCATTTCTTTTGTGTGCTTTCATCACGTGTGGTTATACCCTACAGACGACCGCATTTATACAGCTAACATGCACGTACAGTTTATGCCATAGGCGGGAAAGCTGTTTCACCATTTTTTTGTTACCGCACGAGCGCCGTCAAAGGTGGCGCGTTCGGATGAGATGTTTTTTGGTACCTGTTCCTAGGCAGTCATATTCCCAATACCAACTTTCCACTAGTTATCGGTGTTGTTAGAATATTACAAATTGCCAAACTATACTTTCTTTTGCCGCTTATAATTAGTTTATTATATGTACAACTATGAGCTGTATGCTATACTAGGTTCATATGTGTGTTGCATGCACTTATGTGTTCAAGCGAATGCTTATATCATGTATAGTTGGCTGTGTGCGCAGAAAGGTATATTATGTACAGACGATACACAGTTTGCTGTGCGTACAGAATAGTATGCTACATGCTTGTGTTATGAATACTCTAATGTATAACATATACTGTATATTGAATTTCAGTGTGTTTTAATGAATTTAATGTCTCACAGACTTGAAGGCCGAATCATGCATGTATTTATGGCATCGAACTTTGTTTTCCTCTGTGCAACAATATGTGACACTTAAATGCACTAATCCTCTTCTTCTTCCTCTTCTTCTTCTTCTTCTTCTCCTCCTCCTCCCCTTCTTCTTCTCCTCCCCTTCTTCTCTTCCTTCTCCTCCTTCTCCCCCTCACCTTCTTCTTCTCCTCCTTCTTCTCCCCTCCTCCCCTTCTTCTTCTTCTCCTCCTCCCCTTTTTCTTCTCCTCCCCTTCTTCATCTCCTCCTTCTCCTCCTCTTCCTTCTCCCCTCCCCTTTTTCTTCTCCTCCTCCTGCTTCACCTCCTTCTTCTTCTCCTCCTCCCCTTCTTCTTCCTCTTCTCATCCTTTATCTTCTTCTTCTCCTCCTTTTCTCCTCCCCTTCTTCCTCTCCTCCTCCTCCCTTCTTCTTCTCCTCCTTCTCCTCCTCTCCTCCCCTTCTTCTTCTCCTTCTTCTCATCCTCCCTTCTTCTTCTCCTCCTTCTCCTCCTTCTCTCCTCCCCTTCTTCTTCTCCTTCTTCTCCTCCTCCACTTCTTCTCCTCCTCCTTGTTCTCCTCTTCCTCCCCTTCTTCTTCTCCTCCTCCTCTCCTTCTTCTCCTCTTCCCCTTCTTCTCCTCTTCCTCCCCTTCTCCTCCTCCCCTTCTTCTCCTCCTCCTTCTTCTTCTCCTCATCCTTCTTCTCCTCTTCCTCCCCTTCTTCTCCTCCTCCTCCCCTTCTTCTTCTCCTCTTCCTCCCTTCTTCTCCTCCTCCCCTTCTTCTCCTCCTTCTCCCTTCTTCTAATTCTCCTCCTTGTTCTTCTCCCCTTCTTCTTCCTCTTCTCATCCTTTTTATTCTTCTTCTCCTCCTCCTCTTCTACTTCTTCTTCTTCTCCTCCTCCTTCTTCTCCTCCCCTTCTTCTTCCTCTTCTCATCCTTTTTCTTCTTCTTCTCCTCCTCCTTCTTCTTCTCCTCCCCTTCTTCTTCTCCTCCTCCTTCTCCTCCTCCCCCTCTTCTTCTACTCCTTCTCCTCCTCCTTATTCTCCTCCTCCTCTTCTTCTTCTCCTCCCCTTCTTGTTCCTCTTCTCATCTTTTTTCTTCTTCTTCTTCTCCTCCTCCTCATTCTTCTTCTCATTCTTCTCCTTTTCCTTCATCTTCTTCCTATTCTGTATCCTCCATGATATAACCTTCTCTCTTTCCCAGTGCCCGATTATTGAACCGAGACAAAAAGATCCAACAAGTTGAATCGCATAAACCTTTCAATAACAATAACATTTTCCCTGACCATGTATTTCCCTTAACATCATGTGAAACGACCGTGTAGAGTACAGTATACAGTACACGAAGTTGCCTACAAAATCCCACAAGAAAAGGGAGACATCAGCAAGTACATTGGGTGTTTTATCCCTTTCGCCTGAAATCATAAATTGCTCTCCTTGATACAACTACTAGCAATGTCAAGATCTGGATTAGAATTCAGCAATCCATACTTGTCAAGAGGCGACTAACGGGATCGGGTGGTCAGGTTCGTTGACTTGGTTTATGCATGTCATCGTATCCCAGATTGATGCGTAACTGGCTATATGTGCCATATTTTGTATAATTTAGTTATATGTGCACTGCGCAATATCTTGTATAATTGGTTAATGTGCAGTATGCTATCTTGTGTGCAATTAGCTGTATGTGCAGTATGTTATATGTTGTATAATTGGCTGTATGTGCAGTATGCTATATTTTGTGTAACTGGTTATATGTGCAGTATGCCATATTTTGTATAATTGGCTACATGTGCAGTATGTTATATGTTGTATAATTGGCTATATACGCAGTGCGTTATATTTGGTAAAATTGGTTAATGTGCAGTATGCAATGTGGTGTGCAATTGGCTTGATGTGCAGTATGTTATATATTGTATAATTTGCTATATGTGCAGTATGTTATATTTTGTATAACTGGCTATATGTGCAGAATGCCATATTTTGTATTATTGGCTGTATGCGCAGTATGCTATCTTGTGTGTAATTTGCTATTTGTGCAGCATGTTATATTTTGTATTATTGGCTATATGTGCAGTATGTTATATTTTGTATAATTAGCTATTAGGGCAGTATGTGATATTTTGTATTTTGTATAAATAGCTATGTGTGCAGTATGCCATATTTTGTATAATTGGCTATGTGCAATACGCTAAATTGTGTACAACTGACTGTGAGGTATTTGCTATGTTACATACAACTGACTTTGTGCTGTATGCTTTGTTATGTACAACTGACTTTGTGCTGTATGCTTTGTTATGTACAACTGACTCTGTGCTGTATGCTTTGTTATGTACAACTGACTCTGTGCTGTATGCTTTGTTATGTACAACTGACTCTGTGCTGTATGCTATGTTATGTACAACTGACTCTGTGCTGTATGCTTTGTTATGTACAACTGACTCTGTGCTGTATGCTTTGTTATGTACAACTGACTTTGTGCTGTATGCTATGTTATGTACAACTGACTCTGTGCTGTATGCTTTGTTATGTACAACTGACTCTGTGCTGTATGCTTTGTTATGTACAACTGACTTTGTGCTGTATGCTATGTTATGTACAACTGACTCTGTGCTGTATGCTTTGTTATGTACAACTGACTCTGTGCTGTATGCTTTGTTATGTACAACTGACTCTGTGCTGTATGCTTTGTTATGTACAACTGACTTTGTGCTGTATGCTATGTTATGTACAACTGACTCTGTGCTGTATGCTTTGTTATGTACAACTGACTCTGTGCTGTATGCTTTGTTATGTACAACTGACTTTGTGCTGTATGCTATGTTATGTACAACTGACTCTGTGCTGTATGCTTTGTTATGTACAACTGACTCTGTGCTGTATGCTTTGTTATGTACAACTGACTCTGTGCTGTATGCTTTGTTATGTACAACTGACTTTGTGCTGTATGCTATGTTATGTACAACTGACTCTGTGCTGTATGCTTTGTTATGTACAACTGACTCTGTGCTGTATGCTTTGTTATGTACAACTGACTTTGTGCTGTATGCTATGTTATGTACAACTGACTCTGTGCTGTATGCTTTGTTATGTACAACTGACTCTGTGCTGTATGCTTTGTTATGTACAACTGACTCTGTGCTGTATGCTATGTTATGTACAACTGACTTTGTGCTGTATGCTTTGTTATGTACAACTGACTCTGTGCTGTATGCTTTGTTATGTACAACTGACTCTGTGCTGTATGCTATGTTATGTACAACTGACTTTGTGCTGTATGCTTTGTTATGTACAACTGACTCTGTGCTGTATGCTTTGTTATGTACAACTGACTTTGTGCTGTGTGCTATGTTATGTACAACTGACTTTGTGCTGTATGCTTTGGTATGTACAATTTACCTTGTGTTGTGTGCTAGGTTTTAGTAGACATGTCTCACTTACTTACTGTTGGTGATTTAACGTGCGCGTTCCGACAATTTATAGGTGGAAGTATTGAAATTTTGAAATATGCCATACCTGAAGGTGGGGGGACTGGGGGAGTTTGTGTGGTTTTGTGTGTTTATAGATTTAGGACTTTTGTTTTATTTGTAGATTGTTTTTAATATTTTAGATGCGGCCGAGTAGACCTGTTTGGATTAGGTATATGTCTAGTGCCTTATGGGTTTGTAAGTTGTTTAATGGGTTTAGAAGAGTTGGTAGTGTCAACTGGTTGTTGAGGTTCAGTGTAGTTTTGAGTGTTGTTCTATGTTGTTTGTAATGTGTGCAATGTAGTAATACGTGTTCGGGGGTTTCTGTTACGTTACAATGTGGGCATTTACCAGTTCGATGTTTTTTAATAAGGTGCAGGTATATGAGTTTAATTTAGTGTGGCCTGTTTGAATTTGGGTTATTGCCCTATCAATTCTCTTTGTTCTGTGATAGATTTTTGTATTTTTGTGTGGCTCTTGTAGCAAGTGTTTTAATCTGCTGTTTGATTTCTGATATTTGGTTTGCCACTTTTGGGAAGATGTTCCCTTAGTGATATTTTTAATTTCGGTTTTAGATATTGGTATGTTAATGCTTATTTCTTCTAGTTTTAGTGCTGATTTGGCTGCCTTGTCGGCGTGTTGGTTGTCATACACACCGACGTGAGCAGGGATCCACATTAGTTCTATATATTTGCCTAGTTTGATGTGATTGTTGGCGCTTTTAAGTATCCGAAGTATTAGTTTTGGACGTTTTTTTTTAGTTGTCAATTGCCTCGAGCCCACTCAGTGAGTCTGTAAGGATTAAGGCTTTTTGGTGTATTTTAGTTTGGGCGCTGTGTATGGCTGTTACTATTCCCATTACTTCTGCTGTGAAGATTGATTGATTGTTGGGGAGCCGATTTGCTTTCTCTTGTAAGTGTGTTGATGTGGGTGCCGAAACATGTACGTTTTGTGTCCGGGTCGAAGGACCCGTCTTTGTAGATGTGATTCCAATTTGGTCATTTTTCGTGTATGTGTGCTTGTGTCGTGGTTCTGGCGGTATTTGAGTCAGTATCTGACGAGCGAAATATGTATGTAAGTATGTATGTAATATGTATGTAAATCAGGCACACTTCTATAAGTCTAGATATCTGTCCAGATAGTTTAAACTGACTTCATTTCACCACGCTTATCCTTTTACGTTGAATCAAATTGGAAGTTGCGAAAGTTGTCGGGTGCGTCACCTTCATTGGGACCCTCGATCTATTGAACGGTAGTCGTACTTTGTAAATGGATATAGCTCGATTATATAATGTCTGTGGAAGCTCAATGCATAACTTATGTAGGATGCAAACCGAATTTGATGCGTGTGACAATCTTGTTTGGTTTGATAAAGTGTTTGTTAATATCCCTCGCTCACATTAGATTGCTTCAGTTCTGCCTTTAGTTGCAAAATGAATGACGTCTCGCGATTTTTCATGAATGAAAAAAAAAGTAGTCCCGGTGTGACAGAGGTCACGGTTATCCAATCAAAACGAATAAAACAAGGTCAACCTTGTACGACACACGTGTGACGTACGGATTTAGTATCTTGCCACCTGTATCTTCACCACGTGGGTTATAAATATGTAAGTGCCTATCCTATCATCGATACATCTGTTTGGAGCTACAATATCAGCTGGCATGAAAAAACGGCTTAACGTCACTTACACTCTTCAAAAAAGTCTTTATGTATTTAATATGTGTGTTACACTCCCAGGAATAACAAATGGTAAGTCTATTCAACTGCTTCGTTCTATTGATAACACATTGGGACAACTTGAATTGCTCTCTCTGGTATAAAATACACTCTTCAAAAATAAAGAAACGCACAGGTAGTATGTAGTTCATTGAACATGACTACATAAAAAATCTGGTATATAAATTCGATATATGTTATTGGAAAATGTTGGTGGCCTGATATTCGACAAACGATGCAACAAAACGCAGCAATAGTCTATTTGCAATGTCTTAAACGGCATTGTCTTCACACTTGTTCAAAAATGTCATGGAGGAAAACAGTAAAGCAAAATGCGCATGCAAGTTATGGTATTCGTAACTCGTGGTAGCTGCTATAAATAGGCAAGCATAAGCCAATAATTTGTCATTCAATTGTCAACATTTTTCAAGTTCGAAAATGCCGAAACTCAGCGCTGCCGATGGGAACATCGCCATAAGACGTATCCAAAGAGGGGAATCGCAGTCTTCTGTTGCACGCCACTTCCACGTCCACCACAGCACCATTTGCCGCCTTTGTGACCGAAACACACAGTTCAATTCCACTGCAGACCGTCCGGGAACCGGCCTACAAAGAGCTACCACCCCTGCACAGGATCGCTACATTTGACTGTTCCACCTACGTCATC